GGCATCATTAAAAAAAATGTTAATATGATTTATCACAAAGATGACAAATCTTTGAATATTATATCCTTCTTTATGTAAGTAAGGAGCATATATAACATGTATATGCAAGAAGCATATATGCATATGATGCATATAACTGTATTAACTTCATTTTTTAATAATTAGCCTTTCAAAGCAGTATGCTTCTTTCAACTTCTGGAAGTCTCTACCTAAAAAATAAGAAATTATGCAGTAATTCTCCTTGACAGAGCACACACACAGAAGAAAAGGGGAAAAAAGGTTTAGGGGGTCAGAAACAAAACTGTGGGGTGCCATTAGTGTATCAGACTTCTGAATGACTCATGAAAGGAAGAGCAATGGTAAATAAAAGATTAAAAGTCAAACATAATAAAGTGTCAGTAAAAGTGAAAGTGTAGGAAGTTCTAAAGGGACAAAAATACAACGTTGTATTAAAATCAGAAGCATGACTTCTATTTTGTTTATGAAAGCACCATCTTCAAGGAAAGTTTTTTTTACTGTATATTAAGGTAAAAAAAAAAGTGTTCTTTTAATGGGCAAGAGGAATGGCATGGTACATTGTAGCATTACAGATATGGTGGGAAGGAGCATGAAATGGGATCCTATTTCACAGAAATTTAAAGGATTTTATGAGTCTGTCTTTGAAAAAATATTATTGTAGTTGTTCAGATACAAATATTTAAAGTTTTATTTTATTTCTTATTTTTAAGCAAAAATCTTATCACTATATTTACTGCTCTTTATAGAAGCCAACACTAAAAGGTTGTATAGATCTTTTTTGGTTGGGTCAAACTTAGATGAAAGAACTCTTACTGATTACAGAATGTATAGTCAGCAAATGACAAAAATGAATTAGGAAGTCATAATTCATAATCTTGAGCAATTAAGAGTTATAAGGCAAGTTATATAAAGAAAATGAGAAATACTTTTATGGAAATAATGGATTTAAATTATGGCATGCTACTAATGACACAATTATTCAATTTGAAATATTAAATAATTCAGACTGTTAAATTCTAAATGCAGTTTCTCAACATTAACTATCACTGATTTATTTTTACTACATTACTTTTGTGACCTCTTTATTGAAAGCAGTAATTTTAACACTAAAAGGTGACATGATTATAACAACATATAGTAGGGCATGCAGTAAGGTGAATGTTTGTAAGAAATCAAATAAAGCTTAAATGGCTTTTGGTACTATAAACAGAATCCTACTCTTAGAAAAGGTCTTCTGTACTTCAGTGTTTGTCAAAGTGTATATTCACATGTATTAGCTAAACTTTGCATGAGAATTCAGATAGTAGAAAGCATTTTAATCACAACTGCTGTTCTTCAATAATCTTGTCATGAAATGCAATGCCACCAAACAATACAGTCCCATGTAATTCCTCTCATTGCCTGATGGCTAATATTGTCTATGTCTACTTAAAGACCTAAGTCTTTTGTACTTATTTACATATGAATGGCCTTGTAACTATAGAATACCTTCTTCACTACGTGAAAGATAGGTCTGCCTCAGTCCCATCTGCTTGCTCGTTATAATTCATACCCAACTCAGGAAAAGTTAAGGGAAAAAAATAAAGGCATATATTTCCCAAGAGATGGCCTCAGAATAAGTTTCTGAACCAAAATTATTTAGTTAGCCATTAGGAACATGCACAGTTTTGCCACTTGCTCTAAGACGGGACATAAACACTAACCAAGGTCCCCAACTTGGTCGCATGTTAGAACTTAACATCAATCCATATCACTGTTACGGTGTTGGATTCTTATGGCAGGCTGCTTAGCTCTAGGAGACAAGTTACTAGTTTTGTATAAAACTCTCTGGACTTCTTGAATACCTTGTATTTTACACAATCCTTCTTCTCCTTTTACTGTGGAATCTCACCAATTAGTTGAATTTACAGATTATACTAATAAGAACAATAGGAACATAACTTTTATGAAATATATAATTTTATAAAGTATACCTTATATACTTTATTTATACTTTTATAAGGTAACTGCTGACCTTCATATTGAGAAAGGTGGGGGAGTATAGTTTCTTTTGTACAGAAAAAAGGCAGCAGATACCGCAAAGGACAAAGTGGCTGAGTAATAGAAGAAAACATCCAAGTCCTTTTAGAGGTTCTTGTTTTTTTTGTTTTTTTTTTTTTTTTTTTTTTAATGTTCTTTGATTTTTAAAGGCAAAGTAGTTAGGAACTACAATCTCTGGAAGGTTTGTGCATTTTCTCAGTAACTGAGGTGGCTCACCTTCCTGGTTGGTAGCATGCTAATATGCTGAATCTTTGAAGTTACTGAATTTATAGAGGTTGAGGGATTCAGTTACTTAGATTCTTTACAGACAATTCATCTGATCAGGAGAATAGCAAAATAACTAGAATACATAACTGAGAACATGCTAGGGTCATATCTATGTCTCTTAGGACTTTTCAAGGTCAAGATTTTCTATAAAGAAAAAGTTTGGGAAAATCAACAGATGCCCTACTGAGATCCTTTTGAGAACTTTTCATGAAAAAAAAAAAAAATAAAAAAAGTGGTAGGAGTGGTTGATTCTGGTTGGAAAGGGGTGACAGGAATAGAAATTGCATGCCAGACAATACCAGAATAAAGAGTGGGCTTTATATCTAGACTGCACTCTATGTTACTCATCCTGAATGTCTGGACGACTTCTCCTTCTGTTCAGTGCTGTCTTTGAAAAATAATGATGAGTAACCTAAGAAAAAAAAATACAAAATTCAAAATAAGCTGAAATGAAGTGAGCTCAGGAAATTGCACTGTCAAAGATCTGCTATTATTTTAGTGATAGAACTTTTTTTTTTTCAGTTTATTGTCAGCTTCTCCCATGAGTTTGACAGTTTAACATTTTGCATAACAGTTAATGCATAAAACTAAATTTTACTTCATGGAAATATACTTTGATTTCAGGCATTCTGAGCAAATATATTATGGGTTTGTCTCAAACTAATAATGAAAGAAGATAGAAAGAGATTCATAACCAAATTCATAACCAATGGCATTTTTGACAGTTTTTTGCCAGGTTATACTATGTGGCTTTAGCTGAGAAATGAAAAATAATTTTATTGAACATACAGGGGTATGAGAGCTATGAGAGCTCTATGAATTTCAGTCCTGGCATTTAAGTCCCATATACAAGTAATATTTGAGTCATGAGAAGCTCACTCCATTTTGTCATGCATCAGTTGTAATCGACCTTCCTTGACCTTATTTAAAAAAAAAAAATTCTAACAATGGAAATGAGTATCCGTAGTTTCTCTGCTATAAAAATATGTTATTGAATATGAATAGTCCCATTTCAACCTTTAAGTTTAATAAAACAGCTAGTATGTGTTTAATAAGTTAATTATAAATTGATAGTATTTCAAGATACATACTTCACAGATTGTTGTATGGCTATCTTTTTGTACTGTTATATTCAGAAGCCTGCCAGAAGAGAAGGTAAGCAGGACCAGATGTGCAAATTAGGCAAGAGCTAAAAAAGTCGATGAGAAAAGCTGAAAGAAATGAAAGGGCAGAGGTACACATCGCTCATCCAGGCTCTTCATACTGGTACTTGATGGGAGAAAGAGAGCTTAAGTGTTGGGTTAGACTGGGTATAAGAAAAAAGTTTTTTGACCTAAGGACTGTCAAGAAGTGGACCAAATTGCTCAGAGAAATTCAGCTGTCTCCATACTTGGAGATTTTGAAGCCCTGAGCAGCCTGGGCTGATCTCATCACTGACTGTGTGTTAAGCAGCAAGATGAACTAGCGACCTCTCACAGCCCATTGCAACTTGAATTATTCTAGCATCTTATGATCATACACTACTACTGTACTACTACTACGTACACTACATACACAACTGCTGGTTAAAAAGAAAGGTTTTATAAAGTAGCAAAGAAAGGAAAAATCATTACTAGATGGGAAAAGAAGTAATAAGTTCAGTAGCTCCTTCTTCACCTGTTCCCTATTGCAACCCTTGAAGTGGGCAGATTAATTGTGAAGTGTTCAAAATTAGGAACAAAAAATATGTCAATCTAAAAATCCTGCCCTCTAGCTCTGGAATAGTTGATGGGTATACAGTGTGGAGTCTACCGAATTAATTCGGACAAGGAATAGGCCAAGAAAGACCATATACATTAAGGGCAAACTAAAATGCTTTTTTTGTTATGCTGTATTTTGCTCTAGTGATTCTTTATTTTAACAAAATTTTATTTCTGTTCTTATCTTGACAGAATTCAGTAAGCATACTCTTTATATTTAAATCTTTTCACATCATAAATCCGAGTCATCTCACACACAGAGGATACAACCTTCCCAGGAAAGACAGGCATAATTAAGGTGCACTGAAAAGAAATGTGCACGCTACCTATATTCAGGGCTCTTCCTCAAACTTCGGGTTGCCTACAGACTAGGCTGGGGGTGTCTCTTTGGGTTTTTGCCGAGAACCCCAGCTCCCCTGGCATGCCTGGAAATAGCCAGGAGCTTCTTTGATGAGTGGCAGGAAAGTGGAAAATGGCTTTTGACTTTGAGGGGAGTGGGATGGGAAGGAAAGGTGCCACTTTCAACTTGTTAACATAAAACCAGCTTAAGGTTGTCTTCCCAACATTGTTTTTATTCTGTCCATTAGCTTAGAAATATGAAAGACTGATTTCAATTTCTAGGAGTATTTTTTTTTGTTTTGTTTATGTGTTCAAAACAAAAATAAAACTAATAACTGTTCTGAAGTTCACAACTAGATGGTGATGTTAGTGATGCTGGAGGGGATGGGGAAGCAACTATTAGTTTTACCTTAACTAAAAGTAAAATAGGTAGAACAAATATATAAAATGTCAGTGTCAAGAATATTAGTAAAAATCTATGAAGATATGTATAAATTTAAAAATCGCTTCTGATTTCAGGGAAAAAAAAAGTGGCATTGAATGTACAATCAGATAATAATAACATTTTTATCTTATACAACTTTGTTTCTCTTTTAGTGGCAAAGCATTACTATAACACTGGTTGAGAAAGTGCAGATGGTTGCTGTAATCCTAGGATCTCTGTTCTTAGTAGCAAGTGTGACTTGGCTTCTATGGTCAGCCTTCAGCCCCTATGCAGTATGGCAAAGAAAGGACATCCTTTTTCAAATCTGCTATGGAATGTATGGTTTTATGGATCTAGTATGCATAGGTAAGCTCAAAAACTTTAAACAGCACAGACTGTGGTTTAAGACTGTGGCTATCTATTTTTCTAATTGGTCACTCTAATTGATCACTCCAGTTCTTTGCAGATTTATTCGCAGCTGGTGCCTTCGGCAAATATTGCTTTTTAAAGTGTTACAAATACTGCAAAGAGAAAAGAACCAAACACACTTTACTCTCAGATTGATCAAAGCATCTTAATGATGAGAACAGCATCAGGTTCAACTACTTGAAAATACAGACAGCTAGCAAAGTTCAGAAAGATAAACAGGTGAAAATAACAATGACATTATTAAGAGAATTAGTAAAATTATGTGCTATCAAGTCTTCTACTGATGCAACTTTGTATTAGATTGTACCACCATGAAGGACCAGAAAAGCCCCTGAGGATGTCATCAAATTGTGTGTCCAGGATTAATTTGTATGGACTTACATAGGTTGCTGTGCTAGTAATAGAAGAATGGAAAAGACAGGCTTGAGTTCTTTGTACATCATAAATACAGTTATGAAACACATGATACTACTGACTATAACTTACTACACTATTAAAAAGTCTCACATCATTTAGCTTTATCTAAAATGTTAGAAAGGAAAATACAATTTATTGCAAAGTATTTTGACCAGTTTTGAATTTTCTGATAATATACTGAGCCAGAAATGTTTAAATAGGAATCTTTTTAGTATTTTGTAAAACAACTTTGAACTGATTGCTGTAATAGCTACAATTAATTGCAGAGAGAGTTTAGTAACTTGGAGTAAAAACTAAACCACATTCTTAGAATTGCAGTTCCAAGAAAATGCAGAAGTAAAATGCTATATGATGCTAGCTTTTAGCTTTCTGAACGATAAAGGTTGATGTTATCTGATCTCTTATATGGGAATAATGAAGGAGAGGGCTGAATTCAACTCAATAAGGTGTGAAGAGACAGGGTGATTCCTAAAATCAAGACTTTTGCTCCAACCATAAAGCCATATCATCTTTTATTGACACCATCTCATTACTGTAAGAATATTTATTTATATTTCGGCTGGATCACCATTTCTATTTGTTTTGTAATTTTTCTGAGAAGCCCACTCCAGAATATTTTCTGATACAGACTTTCTTCTGTGAACCCAGATCTTCTCAGACAGAGAAAAAAAGATAAAGTTGGTCTGGACAGGTGCCTCAACTTTTAACTGAAACAAACAAACAAAACTCAGTTACAGGTCCTCCTGCTATGTGCTGATTCTTGAATACTGTTTTTTTTCCTGCTGAGCACTTAATTTCCGAGTTTTTTGTCTTTGTTAAAAGAAAACAAAACTCCAAGTGTAGAGAAAATGTGCTTCAGGTATTCTAAGCTTTTCATTTATATGGAATTCTGTTTTTTTCACATAGATTCCAATTTTCAAAATCTGCTTTGGTATGCATCAGCCAATTGGAGTAACCAGTTATTTTAAATGATTTCATGTCTTTCTGTTTCTTTGGTTATTAAAACACTTGAATCAAATCATTCTAAAAGTCACTGAGTACTGAATTTATCTACAGAAGTCAACTATAGTTAGATGTGCCTTCAGTAGATTGCTACATGAGCTAGGTGGCTGCCCTTTAAGTCAGTCAGGCTCCTGACACCTCTGGCCAGGAAGCTGAGCTAGCATGTACCTCAGACAGCTGCAGAGCATCTAGCTAATGGGCACCATGCAGGAACAAAGGATGCATAGCTGGCTTCATCCACCAGATAAACTGACCAGCCTGTGAGGACCTAAATGCATCTTTTACAGTCCTATCATAAAGAAATACATGCAAACTTTTACATCACTTCCACTGAAACTGACTATAAGTAAACATATTTGAACACTGGTTTTGTAATTATGAAGTTCAGTGCTGATATGACTTAACAACTAACTATATATCTGGAAATTCAGAAAGCGGCTGTTTGGTAATTGTAAAATTCTGATAATACATATTCATTCAGCCTACTCAGTCTTCTTATAATTTAAAGTAATCTGCATTCTGCAGGCTTGTAAAACCAAGAATTCTTGTAACTTATGAAAATATTTATTAACATATTCAATTTTATCTTTTTGTTTCATCAATAAATGAAGGATCTTAGACGGATAGTTTTAATTTAAAATCTTTGAATAAAGTTCTCTAATAGATAAATGTAATTATTATTCATGAATTATGTAAAAACACAATAATATAAATTATGCTAATGACTTCCAAAAGGCTTTTACTATTGCACAATGCTTATGGCCAGACAAAGTTCTTACTCAGTATGTCCTCTGATCTCATGTGTATTTAGTCATCAATGACATTCTCTCAGTTCAAACTTAGTCTTACAAAGGATCTGCAAGGAGTGGATATCTATACTCCCACTAGAGTCTGTTTATTTCATTCAAAATCTGTGCATATATATGGATTTGCCTGTGCAGCACCCATTCCAAGACAAGTAAATGAGTGGTACAACCAAGATTTAGTCCATCAGTCCTGCTGCCTTCAGCTGCATCTCCTTATAGCTTTGCATTAACAATATGAAATTTTTTGGTCATTTTCAAAATGTAAATAGCTCTATTTTTTGCTATTATTTAGCTCTATATTTTGTTGTGATCATTTTAAAAGCAGTTTGCCCAAAGGTAATGACATATTCACAACCCTTTACACATTCAACTTTTTTTCTTACCTTTTTTATTTTTCTCTGGCTCCCACCTATTCTTTTCCTCTCAACCTTTTTTAGCCTTGACATTTTAGTTATCTTTATGTTTTTCTCAGCCTTACAACCCTTTTCAGCCTTAAATCCTATTTCAGCATCCTCTTCTTCTCAAAATCCAACTTTATCAGCCCCATACACTTTTTTGACTTTCGCTTCTCAGAATCTACCTTTTTCTCAGCCTCCCACCCTATTTCTCCCACTGTTTTTCTCTTATCCTTCCACACTGCTTCAGTCTCCACTTTTTCTCACACTACGACTTTTTACCTCCCAGCATTTTATGGCTTCCAGTTATGCTCCTTTCAAGCCCTTTTTCAAGCCTCTTTGTCCCTGACTGCCCCAAATACTTCGCAACATTTGTGTAACTAACTCACTTAGTTGTAAAAAATGTACAGGCAGAAGTTCTTGCAGGTTTTTAACTTTAACGTTTTAACCAATTTATTGCCTTTTTTTTCCCAATGGTTGAAGCTATTTCTAAAGTGTCTTTTATTTCCCAGTAAAAGTGTTTTTTATGCTTCTGGGAGTACCATTCCTAAATGACTATAAGAGAAACTAGCGTGACAAATAAAACAGCATAAGAAGCTAATGCCACACCTGAACAAAGATGTGCCCTTCTTGTACAGACATTCAGTATGAAAAAGCTCAAGTGTTTTTGTGACTTGGGATATGAAACCCTATGGACAGAGCAACAGAAAGAATTTCATAGTACTTTGCAATAAAAGAACAAAAAATGATGTCCCCATAATCCTGTTGTCTGGCTCCCATCACAATTGCTATATTTTAGAAATAAATTGCGTAGGTAAAGCCTTCTTAGAGCCTTAGCACATTTTGCCAGGTCCTTCGTCCCACAGACTCGGTCCCTTGTAGATGTTACATGGACAGAACATCAGAACAGCTAACAGCACTGAATTCTAATACTTCCTCTTCGGAACGTATAGGTCAAACAAGGTATTCTGCTGATCTGTAATTTTTTCCTCTAGGACTGTACAAATACATCCTCTGTGCTACTGAAACCATGGTATTTGGAACAAGTTAGTATAATTCAAGGATGTATCTTTTTTTTTTCTCTTCTACCCCGTTCATTGTTGTGGAACTCTTAAAAAGATTCTTTGCCAGTATCTTACACCTCCACTTTAGTGACTAACTGCATATATTCTGAGCATCAGAACTTCTCTGTAACTGGAAAATCACGTCCAGCATTTAAACCTTACCCAGATTTCCTCTTGTTTATGCTCTCAGAATTTTTAGTGCACAGTGGTTTTTTTTGTTTTGGGTTGTTTTTTTTGTTTGTTTGTTTGTTTGTTTTGTTTTTGTTTTTTGTTTTTTTGTTTTTGTTTTTGTTTTTTTTTCCCCTGAAAGTATCTTACAAAAGAGACAAACAAGTCCTGGCATTCTTTTGCCTCTTCTACATAGGGCTCTTTGAATATGTAGTTTTATCAGATAGGAAAGTAAGTTTTTGAAGAGACAAGTTATGAAAGTGTTTTTTTTTCCACCTTCAGCATTGCCAAATCTGACAGCTTTGTTTCAATCCTTGCAATATTTGCTTCTTTATTCCTTAGCTCTTTTAGAGCATATGTGAACAACAGCTTCCATTTTAAAGACAATTTTTCTTCTTTACCATTGTTGAGAAAAATCTGAAAATATAATTTCAGTAATTACATTGTTTGGGTTCCAGGGCAGAGTAGGCAGGTATCAGAAATCTTTAGATTGGGGTAAATAGGTTCTCTCAATTTTGCTTCATCACAATCTTGAGGAAGATTGGACTGAAAAAATAGTATGATCTAAGGACAGGTAGGGGGAAGGTACAGTTATGCTCTTGTTCCACAGGAAATCCATCAGAAAAAAAACAAACAAACATACAAACAAACAAAAAAAAAAACACAGAAAAAGAAAAAAAAAAAAAAAGAATCTTTGTCACAGCAATAAAACCATGGCTTATTTGGTTTGCAGATTTTGTATGTGATCAAAGGTCATTTAGCCTGTATCAGATGCTTCAATGAATTCTAGGCAACTTGAAAGGCTTGGAGGACTACTACATCTGAAATCACATCCTTCTGCATCTTTGTGTTTATCCATCTTTCAATGTAATGCTCTTTAAAAATGTATTAGGCTAGGCAGTGCAAATCATTGCACTTGAATCTGCAGTTTGCCCTTCATATACATTTTATTAGCACCCTTTCTGCTTGTGTCATCTTTCTTTGAATGGCTCTTTTCGTGTATCAGTTAGCCCCACTGAGAGACTCATGCTTAAATCACGATTTGGTTGTGTAGGAACAGGTAATATACAATCTATTGTGATAAAGAACTGTAGCCTGTGACACCACAGTTGATAATGAAGATTTTGTAACATATAGAAAAATTTCAGGCAGCAAACACTCTGGACAATTAATTTATAAATGTGTTTGGGTAGGCAGACTGCTCTCCTCTCAAAGCAGAGAGTCAGAGTGAGCATATGACATTACTCAGAACCATACATGTTGCCAGGCCTGCTGAGGAACAGAGGAAAAAAACAATAAGGCTGAAGCTCCATGAATTTCCTGAGTAAATCCATATTTAAATCACTTATGCACAAAAAATGTGCATATAAATATATAAAAAAATATGCAAATATGCATACCTATGAAAAAATTAAGAATTTCATTTATGTAAGCAAATTGCTTGCATGCTTACAGTACGTATTAGCTACATGGAAGCTCAGAAGCAGATTGGTCTATTTATGACTACAGATAAATTATATTTACCCTGAAAGGACCATCTAAAAGAATTCCTGGATCTCAACAAAAAAGGGTGATTCTTGATTTTTGTCTACTAAATTTTGAAGCAAAAGAATGCCCATCATCCTTGCCATGCTCATCATTCTTAATCATAACATGTAATTTCTTCTTGCTCTACCGAAGCAAGAAAGTCATTACTCTTGCAGCTGTTCAAGGTTGTTGTAATTCTTCCATGTTCCCAAACTGAAATAAGACTGTGAAAACAGTTACATTTTTTGTAATGAATTCTAAAAACCACTGTTGAACAAATGTAAGACTATTACAGAAGGTCTGACTTAAAGATCTACTTAAACGAGTAAAAACATCAATAAATAGGACTTACTGTGAACAAGGATAACACCAGCATAAACAATCAATTTACAAATCTGCTGGTCGGGTTGATTTATATTGGTTTACTTAAATCTAGATACATTTTTCAGTTCGGCATGCTCAGATAATTCCAGTATTGGTCATGTTGAGCTTCCATTCAAAATAATTTTATTTCCTAATTATAATGACTAGGAAGTTTGTGTAAATTTTGGATTTTGGTTAAGTATATAATGGAAGGGTTTAAAATCGCTATAAATATCCAAGGACACTAAATACATGCATGCTCCCTTCCCTAATCTTAAACACATGGATATTATATTGCATATGTATAATTTATTTGAATTATCAGAGTTACAAGCAATTTAATGGATTCTGGCAGTTGCCAGATTTGTTACAACATGGTATTATGAAGTTACAGCTTTATTTGCTCTTGAAATGATATTCAGTGACATTTTGTAAGAACTAATGCTTTCTTTTCTTAATTTCAGGACTTATTGTACATGAAGGTGCATCTGTTTATCGAGTGTTTAAGCGCTGGAGGGCTGTGAATCTACACTGGGATGTGTTAAATTATGATAAAGCTACAGATATAGAAGAGAGCAATCGAGGAGAATCCTCAGCAGGAAGGACATTGTGGTTACCGCTGACTGCATTTAGAAACAGAAATTTAGTTCACCCAACACAGTTAACCTCACCAAGATTTCAGTGTGGCTACGTATTGTTACATCTATTCAACCGCATGAGGCCTCAGGAAGATTCATCAGAGGATAATGGCTCTGGGGAAGTAGTGATGAGAGTGACCTCAGTGTAATGATTACACTCACTGTGCTGCACAGATAAGGATAATGTGCCCTGATGTTACAGGGCTTTGGAATGTAGCTACAATGAATGGAGAAACCATTAACACTTGAAAAAAATACACATTTTTTAAAAAAAATTAATGCTTTTTATATGATCAGCTAAATCACAAATACATTTTTTCTGAAAAAAAAAACAAAAACAAAAAACAAAAACAAACAAACAACAACAAAAAAAAACAATCAACAAACCCTCTTGCTTTTTATATAGTCTGGTTTATTAAAGCTTTTGTCAATTTGTTACCTGAGGTGTATATGATATAGTTTAGCTCTTAGGTCTTTGAATGCTGAAGAAAGTCATTTTTAAGTAATATATATATATTTAAATGTATTTTCTTAAATTCTGGCTTTAACCCACTATTGTTATTTTTCCCACTTTCATGAGGATTAAACTGGAAAACCTTTCAAAAAGAAAAAAAAAACGTTGACAGAAGTCAAGCATGCTTTTTTTTCTAATGTCTTTATTTTGTTTCAGTTCAGGTTGATGAAAGTAAGTAAGGGATATATTGTCCCATGCTGTTAAGTGGGAAGACAAGCAGGTGTTCTAAAAATGTTAGGGAAGATGCATACTCTTCTTTTAGCTCTCCCATGGGGATATTGATATCAGACACGAGTGTGACACAGACAGGGGAAGAGTCTTACATTTCCTCTCAAGACTCCAAGATCTGCAGACTGCTGTAGCTGTGCCTGTGCACAGACATAACACTGTCTTCCAAGCAGCAGTGCTGCATTCAGCAGCCTGCGAGCTTCCAGTAGTATTCTAATGATAGGACATTGTCCACCCATATTCTTTAAATAAAGAGGAGATTACAACTTGCATTGCAACTGCTGAAATAATAAATCCTAACTGAAAATGAAGTAGAATAAATGCAGAGCCTTAATTTCGCCATGTAACAAAAGAGGATATTAAAAATAAGTCAGTATTCATTTTTATCATGATAGCTAATCAGTGCCATGGAGTTTGCTTCTGTTTCTGCCTCATGGCAGAAATTCTAATATTCAACCAAGTAGATATTGAAATAATTTTCAAGTGAATAATTAAGTTTGCTGAACATCAAGAACCCTGGCTTGCTTGCAACAGTTTGTGGTGGGTTGATGCTGGGTGGCCACCCTCTCACTGCCCCTCTTCTGTATGATGGGGAGAAAATAAGGTGGGACATACTCGTGGGTCGAGACAGGGAGATCACTTTCCCACTACCTTCATGGGCAAAACAGACTCAACTTGGGGAAAAGTAATCGCTTTTATTGCCAGCTGAAATAGAGTTGCAAGGTAAGAAACAAAGATAAAAACTAAAACTTGTCCTTCCCAGCCCCCATTCCCCACTCCTGCGCAGGGCAGGGGGCTGGGGCCAGTCCTCGCAGCCCCCCTCAGCCTCTGCCTTCCCCAGGCTGTCCCTGAGGCGAGGCGCCGTCATCTTGGCTGCTGGGCCCAGCCATGCCCTGTGGCAGGGCTGGCATGGGGTAGCACACCCAGGGGCAGTGCTGGGCTCCCACAGCTCATACAAAGTTAAATGCTTTTGTGTTCCAAAATATATTGTAACCAACGGGTGACTAGTTCTAGACATATTTTGTGCAGTACCTGGACTATTGTGCCTGGAAAATTCCCTTTCAGGGATCAACAGGGGGGTGCTGGTATCAGTGTCAGCCTTGCCTTTGTAAAATGCCCACATACCAAGACCAGACACAGGACGCTTCTGCAACTACACTTGAAAGGGAGATAGAAAATAAACACTGGAGTGAAGAGCTCTTTGTTTATTCATAAACATTTAGCTGACAGACTCTACAGAGGGCCCAGCATTCTGCATTAGTCTCACAAGCTCAAATGTACACTTACTGAATCTACAGATGAGTTACTTCTCTTTCAACAGTTAAAGGAAAAGAAGTATATCAGCTGTGATCAGCCAAATGGTATATCAACAAAAGCCATTTAATATCCTCCATGACAGATTACCAACATTCAACTAGCAATCTCATTGAGAATGAGAACTATGAGAACTCCCTTCCATCGTAGCTTTCGAAAATTTCCCAAAGGAGGAATTTGTGGAGAAATAAGATAAGAGAAGCTATGATTGGGGAAGCTTGCTGTATCACCAGAAATTAATTATTCTTAATTACCACTTAAATGATGTCCTATTTCCCAGAAGAACTACAATTCCACATGACCAAGTAGAAATCAGAGTATCTCAAAAGCACTTTTAATACAAGGCAAATAATTAATTCCTTGCTCAATATACTTAAAAGGTTGTCTCACACCTTTTAGGTACCCATCATCTGTGAGATTTAAGGCATATTTCAGCAGTCTATTTACACTATCCTAAAAACAAAAGTATATGAAAACATTTTGTTACAAAGAGATCTTTTCCATTCACATCCAAATTAGGGTGCTGGATGAAAGTGACTCACCAGAAAAGATCAATAGATCTAATTAAAGAGAGGACAAGATTTCTGTGTACAAATGTTTCAAAGACTCGTGCCCATAACACTTAACAGTTTTTGAGGGAAAATGATTCAACTAAGAGTAATGAAAATTAGCAAGTTAGAAAAACATTTAGGGCAAGTACCACAAGAACCTTTTTAATAGCAAGATTTGTCATCATTAGTCATTTCTGTGGCACAATAATTTTGCATAAGTCTGAGCTTACGTATTTCCATATACAGTGAGATCAGGAAATGATAAACAGCCACAGGGTTAGTATAGGCAAGACACAGTTGAAAAAAATAATAATCTATATATTGTAATGCAGAATGTTTTCAGTAGCAAGTGTAGCTAGCACAGGATACAAATATTTCTTCATTGACCTTGGATTTGTGCAGTACTGCAGTGCTGTAGTCACCTAAATGCAAGATAAACATTCAAATCAGAACAGGTGCAGAGAGGGGGATGCAAAAGGAACAGGGACTGTATTTCACATGTGGAAATTAGAAGAGCGTGGCTTGTTCGGTTTACCAAATGTCGAGACTGAATGTTATTATTCTTAGTTATTACATTGCGAAATAAAATTTTCGGCAAAGTACAACACTAGGAAGCACAAGAACCCAAGGACACAAATAGATTGCAAATAAATTTAGCTGTAATTTCAAGGTAGCTTTAAAATATTTATAGAACGAATCACGGACAACAATTCAAGCTAGAAGGGCCCAACCTCCAGGGTAAGCTCTGAGGTCAGACCAGGTTGCTCTGGGGGTCCTGGGGCTCTGCAGACAGCTCCCAGGCCCATCACTTCCCCTGTAGCTGTCTCTTCTGCCGGCTGAACAAGACCTCAGCCTTCCCTCACAGGGCAAGTGCTCCAGCCTTCAGACAGCTTTGGGGCCCTCTTATGAACTTGCTCCAGTTCCTTTATGCCTTTCCTGTACTGGGTTGCCCAGGGCAGTGTTGGCCATCCCTGCAGCCAGGGCATGCTGCTGGCTCACGCATAGCTTGTCTGCCTTATCACAGAAATGCTCCCAGCTGGGCTCCAGCCTTTACCCTTGCAACAGAGCTTCCTGGCCTGCAGCTGCACTTGATATTTGCCCTTGATTAATTTCATGAAGTGCCTGCTGGTTTATACCTCCAGCCTGGCTAGGTCCCTCTGGGCAGCCGCCCTGACCTGATTGTGTGTCACAGCAATCAGAAGTCATCTGCAAACTCAGTAACAGCAGGGTCTGTCTCTTCTTGCTGGTCTCTGATAAAGAGAGGCTGTCACATGGGACAGAGCCCAGCACAGACCCTTGATTTATTCCATTTATAATTGGCTTACAGACAGTGTAGGTCCCATTAACCACCACCTTCTGGACCTGAACATCCAACCAACTTTTTTGCTATCCAATTGTCCAACAATTCAGAGCATAATGTCCTGACTGAAAGAAGCTGATTTGGGCAGACAGTTTTGAAAATCTTGCTGGGGTTGAGGCAAATTATATCCACTATTTTCCTCTTAACCACAAATGCAGTCTTTCAAACACACAAAGCAAACAAGGAGGTCAGGCATGATTTACCCTTGGTAAAGCCATGGTAAAGGTCATTTTGGTCTACATGGTAAAGGTCACTGTTCCCAGTAACCTTCCTTTTTCTGCATAGGACCAGAAATGGGCTCTAAGAGGACTTGATCTATAATTTCTCCAGGGACCAAAGTGAAGAGAACCAGCCTTTAGGTTCCTGTGTTGTCCTCTGGGCTGTTGTCAAAGATGGGTGTGACATTTGCTGCTCTGTCCAGCTACCAGGGACCTCTCTGATCTCCATGAGATCTTGCACATAATCCCTGCCTCCAGTCTACAAGAACTGCCAGTCACTCCTCACCTCTCTGAGCCCCTTCACTCAGCCTCAAGGCCTGTGAGACCCCACGCCTGGGCTCTGTGATTCTCCTCCCTCCCCTCAGGATTGTCACCTTCAGTATTTCACGCTCACCACAGCCCAGGCTGACACGGATCACATCTCCCCCACCTCAGCAGAGACAGCACATCCCTCGGTGGCCCAACCATTTTCTGTCAAGTTGCCCCAGAAGTCTCCAGGACTGCACTGTACGTGCCTGGCCGTGCTGCCCTTCCAGCAGGGAAGGTTCACGGAGCCCAGGAGCACCAGACTCTGCCATCTTCCAACTTTCTCAACGGGTTTAAAGAAGGCTTTATCCACTCCTCACCCAGACCCTGAGTCTGGTAACATGCCCCCCACACACTGTCCTCCCTGTTGGGCCTGACCCACGAGCTCTCACCAGAACCTTGTCCATGCCACAGGAGAGCTCTGCACATCCCAGCTGCTCCTTCACACCAAGGACGCTCCTCCTCCTCTTTCTCCCTGTCTGTGTCTTCTGACAGTGCCACAGTGAGTTACTGGAAGAGCATCCCAATAAAAACAGTGACAACAAAACATCTGATCTGTTTCAGAGGGAGTTGGATGAGTTTATGAAGGTAATTAAGATGTTTTCACTTGTGGTGGCAGAAGATTGGAATTCATTCCATTCCCTTTCTATGCTCATTTCTATGTAGACCAAATGCATGTATCCCCCCTTCAGAAGAATTTAAAGTCTCATCTGAACTAAACTTATATGAAATTAATCAAGTTATGGAAAAATTATATATTTAAAGGGCACTGAGAGACACTTTTTCATACAACCACAGAAGCAGATTACAGAGTTGGGTGAGGTTCTCTGAAGTTCCAGAGAGCCCTGCCAGGACCATGCTCCAGAGTAACAACACTGGAAATAAACCTCATATACAGCATGTATTTCAGTCACTAACCCGTCTGAATATTGAAACTGCGAGTGGAAGAGAACCAAGGAGCAGTACAAACTGAAGGTTTTGCACCACCCCCCTCAAAGTCAGTTTTCCATTTGCCTTGCTGTGGTCCCCACTGGCAGCAAAACAATGAGCTACTGTCAGTGTAAGGGCAACTTCTGAGTTTCTGTTGGGACACTCTAGAAACAGCAAGACTTCTGCTTGAAATGGCCCGTGCGTTCATATCA